GTCTGGCAAACTCCCCGTGGCGTACCAAATGTGCCAAATACCAGTAACAGTGATGGATCTCATTCTCCTAAAGAGCCTTGAATATAATCTCAGGGCTAGGATGAAAGAGACGTTACTGGGGCCTGCTCGAGGCAATTGACGAATGCTAGATCTAAAAGGCAATAATAAATGTGAATCAGAAGAAGAAGCATAGGAAAAGTATATTTAAAGATATAGCAGGTGTAGGGCTGGAGTGATAGCACAGCAGGTAGGGTGTTTGCCTTGCACGCAGCCGACCCAGGTTTGATCCCCAGCATCCCATATGGTCCCCCGAGCACCGCCAGAAGTAATTCTTGAATGCATGAGCCAGTAGTAATCCCTGTTCAATGCCAGGTGTGGTCCAATAAGCCAAGGCAAATATGGTGTGTAAATAGCTGATTGTTAGGAGGCAGGCTTGAAATTGATATGGATACATGCCCAATGGTGCTGTGGCCAGTTGGGGACAGGCCTCTCCCTCTAGAGCCACCAAGACCAGGAGTGTGGGGGGAGGGGGACCAATCTGGTGTGTGGGGGAGGGAATCCAGGGCCTCACAATTGCAAACCATGGGCACTGCCACTTGAACCACATTCCTAGTACTCAAAATGGCTTATTTTAAATAAGGATCTTTGTTTCTCTACTGCTCAGCATGGACAAGTATGCTAAGCCATGCCGATAGAACCATATCACTTTCAAAGAAATATATGACAGATTTTTTTTGCAGGGTTTAGGTTGACAGAGAAATCCTGCAAATAAATTGTCATAAAAATTTTGGGGTTTTCTCAAAATATCCTCTTTTTAGGAACATGCTTTAAGTATGACCAGGTCATCTTCACCTAAATTTCCTATGCCAGAGCAATTCCATGTGAATAAACAGTAAGGTTTCCTTATTTTATATGCCTACGTGGTCAGTTTCATTCATTGTTAAATAATGTTTTCTTTATGAAATTGACGCTGATCCTGATTCCCATCCCCAGCACCCTGGCTTCTCCTCAACCTGGCTGGGTAGAGCTTTGGGGTCCCCAGAGTAAGGCTAAGTATGGCCCTAGTGACTCTAGGCACTGCCAGCCTGACCTTGGTGGTCCCACCCAACTAGTTCCCCATCCTTATGTTTTGCATTGAACCATCAGGGCTGGTTGACTTAAGTGACCCCTAGCACCCTAAATCACTGTATGGGAGGTTAAACATACCCCACTTCAACTATTCCCCCTGCCCATCCTTCTCCTCACACCTAAACACACAGTAGATAAGTCTGTGAGAGAAATTATTGCTCAGAATGCTTCTGCAGTTCTTTCCAGTGAAGCATATAGGACATTCCCATCCCCCACACACATGTAATAGGATTTATCATTGAAAAAATCATATATAAGTCAACCTTGTCTTCCCTCAGGGGAAAGGCCAGCCAGTGAGAAGTTCATCAGATGATGTCATGTTTGTTAACTTACTCTCTTGTAGATATCATTGGCAAAGATGCTTTTCAAAGCATCAAACATGAACTCTTTCTCATATGTTTAATTTTAGCCCATAAGTCATTTCCAGTCCTCATAAACAACTCACTTAGGACATGCTTTATACTTATACTTTGGATTAGAGGGTTTCTTTATTAGCATCATTTGCCAGTATTGATTTCCTACCTTTCTCGAAAAATTACTCACTTTTATTTCCTGCTGCTCATGTACATAAACAAATAATATATTAACATTATTCAGGAAGCAGTTTTCTCTGACACACACAGATTCTCATAAAATCCAATGAAAATCAATAGAGATTATATTTGTTTGTTTTTTTAGCCAGACTCTTCACTTTGCCCCCTTATGAATGCTTCCAAAACTTCATTTTTTCCTCTGTTCACTTTATAGGCGATAAAACTATCTGAACCGAGAATTTGAATAATCAGTTGTGTTCACAGTAATATGAACTTTTGTCTAGTGAGTAATTTAAGCTTTGATGCAACTGATGCTTATGAATGCTTATGAATAAGTTCAGAGAAGCCTTAGCAGAGATCAGATTAAGACCTATTATTATCATATAGTATAGGCAAGAAAGAATAATATGTTTGTTAGTACCAGTAAAGTATGCATAAATTCAGGCATGAGCTATGAATTTCAGGCAAGCATTTTATTCAATCACTTATCCTCATTCCTCTTTCTCCACCCCAAACTCCACTTTTGAATAAAAGAATATAATAGTAATCATGTTAAGAAAAACATAATTTAAAAGAGGAGGGTCAAGATAACTGAGCAGAGTAGTGGTTTATCTGATTGGACGCTCAGGAAGAAAGCAACTCGGTTAAATCAGCTGTGTAATTTGAAGTACTTGGTGCATGTAATTCAAAGATGATGAGCTATGAGCACTCATTGTAAAAATGTAGGAAAATTACAACAGTCAAGATTTTCCCCTCTTTTTCCTTCCTTCCTTCCTTCCTTCCTTCCTTCCTTCCTTCCTTCCTTCCTTCCTTCCTTCCTTCCTTCCTTCCTTCCTTCCTCCCTCTTTGATGCCTTGCACGCAGCCGATCCAGGTTCGATCTTCAGCATCCCATATGGTCCCCTGAGGTCTGCCAGGAGTAATTCCTGAGTGCATGAGCCAAAAATAACCCCTGTGCAATGCTGGGTGTGACCCAAAAAGCAAAATATAAATAAATAATAGAAAGTATTATTTCTTACTTATAAAAAATACTGCAATGCACTGCTACATTTAAATAATTTAAATAAGGTAAATAATATTAAAAGATAAACATAATATTAAAATATAAGAATGTGCAAAAATAATACTAAAGACCTAAAGGCATATGTTGATTTTTATTTATATAGAAGTATATACAAACAAGGACCAGAGTGATAGTGCAGTGATTAGAGCAAGTACTTGCCTTGCACACAACCGACCCAGGTTCAATCTCCTGCATCCCACATTGTCCCCTGACCAGTACCAGAAGTAACTCCTGAGCACAGAGCCAGGAGTAGCCCCTGAATATAGCTGACTGTGGCCCCCAAGCAAGCAAGCAAAACAAAAAGAAGTGTATATGAACAGACTTTTAAAAGGCAATGTGTTTGAATAATGTGATTAATGACTGTATATTATGATTTAAGGTATATTGTTAATGTGATTTTGAGTTATCTGGAAAGAGCTGTGTTCTTATTCTCATGATGAAGCAATAAACATGTAGGCCAATGCAAGGAACCACTCATCTATAACACTGTGGGTGTGAAAATATTCTTAAATAAAATGTGCTGAAATTCTTGCCTGCTTGCTTTCTTGCTTGCTTGCTTCCTTTGTTCTTTCCTTTTATTTTGCTGCCACACCTGACTATGCTCAGGGTTTACTATGGACTCTTGTGCTCAAGGATCACTATTGATGGTCCTCACTCACTGTATGCATGGTGCCAGGGATCAAACAGGGGTTGGCTGCATGCAAGGCAAGTGCCTTAACCTCTGTACTCTGCTCTCTCTCTCTCTCTCTCTCTCTCTGAAATTATCTTCCAGTTTTCTTGCGTATTCACTGAATAAGAAGACTCTGTATCTTAGAACAGATGTGCTTATGTGTTCAGTAACTCTGCTGTTTTTAATGGTTTTATTAGACTTATACTAGAATATACTACCTATACATGCATGATGCTATTATTATAAGATTTCTCTACTTCAGTGAATGGTGGGTATTAAATATCCATATACTCTCCCATCCCAAACGATCCCTCCAACCATCATTGGAGATGTATGCTGAAAGTAAAAAAAGGAACAAACATAATGGCCTCCCAGTATCCATATTTCAAACTATAATGACCCAAAGTCGAGAGGGAGTAAAAAAGGAAAGTGCCTGCCATAAAGGTAGGTGGTGTGGTGGGGTTAGTGGGAGGGACACTGGGACATTGTTGAAGGAATATGTGCATGGATGGAGGGATGGGTGTTCTATCATTGTATGACTGAAACTCAATCATGAAAGCTTTGTAACTGTATCTCACGGTGATTCAATTAAAAAATAATAATAAAAAGAAAACAACTACAAATAAAAATAATTATCCATATCCTATCACTCCAGCCCTTGTGACCTATTCAATATGCCAAACATAGTAACAACAAGACTCATGATGGAGACATTACTGGGGCCCGCTCGAGCAAATCAATAAACAATGGGAGGACAGTGACAGTGATCCATAACCTATAGTCACTTTGTGACTTATAGCATGTAATTTAGAAATAGTTAAATGGAATTACATGTAGTTGAATATATTAGTAATAGATTTTCATCAAATAATTGAGTTGTGTGAATGTTTAACCTGTACTTTTGACCTTATTGTGTTTTTTAGTAATGATTAGCTTTCACAGAAGTATATGTCCACGTGTGTATTTATGTGTATAGACTACTTTGTTCTAAGGATGATTTGAACATTTAAAAGTTCATTTTAATGTTAAAATATACTGTATTTGGTTGATATAAACATGGAAACCATTAAACCAATTCATCTCTAGTAGAAGGAAATAAAAATCTAGTTTCCATAATGTTTACAAAATCAAAAGGTAAACCAGGGGCTGGAGCGATAGCACAGTGGGCAGGGCGTTTGCCTTGCACACAGCCCACCAAGTTTGATTCCCAGCATCCGATAAGGTTCCGTGAGCATCGCCAGGAGTGATTCCTGAGTGCAGAGCCAGGAGTAACCCCTGTGCATCACCAGGTGTGATGCAAAAAGAAAAAAAAAATTTTTAAAGGCAAACCAATTCCAAACAGACAGCTGGGATTTAAGCTACAGTTCATCAAGTAGATTTCTTTGGTTCTGCCTTTTCTGTATAAATCTTGCCGTCTGCCATCTGGCTCCTGTGCAGTAGCGCATTCCTATCCACTTCTAAGTTCAAAATGGATAAAAGCTCAGATGCATTCTTCCAATTTTTAGTTTGTCTCCACTTATCTTTCAACAGTTGTTTACATTTGAAAATAATGATCTCAGAAAATCAACTCAGAAAGTCAACTAAGGATGTTCTGTTTCTTCCATCAGCTGTTAAAAAGAAGGCCAGCTTTATCACCCCAGTTCCGGGAGGCGTGGGACCCGTGACAGTGGCGATGCTTCTGAAGAACACCCTGCTGGCAGCCAGAAAAGTCATTTATTAGATCACGCAAGAGAATAAAGCACGTTGAAATCTCGCCATTTATTTCATGAATAGCAATACCTTTATATTTTACTAAAAAACTATTTATTCCTACATCATATTTATTTTTTCATTTGTGGGAATCATTGAAGATCAGATGATTCACCCAACTTGATGCATTTCCGACAAATGGACTTTGAGTTTTAGAAAAAATACAAAGCAGCATTGATGAACAGTGTTGATATTTGTTTATTCTGTGAATACTGTCCATAACAATAAAACAATAAAGGGCTCATAGTAAATGAATGTATTTTTGACACAACTAAATATCACAGTACATTTTCAGCAATGTTTTTAAGCAGCCAATGGGCATTAATATAAAATTTTTTTTCATTACGTGCTCAATATGTATGTATCTTACATTCTACAACGTACATTTAAAAAAGAGCTTACTTGTTAAAAAATATGAAGTATTAAAATAAATTCATGATTTCATAGATATCCTATAGTATTATAGTGTATCCTATAGTATTATACTAATAAGAAATAGTGTTCTATTTTAGGAATGAAAAATACATAAAGAAGGCAAAAACTGCAGTACTACTTGGAAAGCAAATGATATTTCAATTGTGAATTACTGTTATAGTAAAAATGTAATCAGAATGTGTTAGGTTTATATGTAATTTTCTTTGTTTTACCAGAAAAATATTTGGGCAATGCTTTTGCTGAGAAATAACAGGACATCCAAAAGAAACACACACACACACACAACAACAACAACAACACATATATATCCCGCCTGCATGGGCAGAGCCTGGCAAGCTCCTCGTGGCATATTCAATATGCCAAATACAGTAACAACAATAGGTCTCATTCCCCTTACCCTGAAAGAGCTTCCAATAATTGGGAAAAGACTAGAAGAGGCTGCTAAAATCTCAGAGCTGGGAGGAATAAAAATGTTTTATATATATATATATATATATATATATATATATATATATACAAACTAAGGTTGTAATTTTTTACTCAAATATTCAAAAAGTTTGATGTAGGGACAGAGAGATAGTACAGAGGTTAAAGAAGTTCCCTTGCACATGGCTGTCTCCAGTTGAATCTTTGGCATAACATATAGTCCCCTAAGGACTGCCAGGAGTGTCATCCCTTAATACACCATGGGATGTGATCCTGAGCCCCCTCCCCACTCTCTCCCCACACTCACACACACACAAACACACACTCCAGAAGAAAGATATGATGTAGCATGATTGAGGACTTCATTAGAAGTTGTTTTTGTTTGTTTTCCAAATCATAAATCTAATGGATAAACTTGAGTCTTCAACTGTGACAATGCTAAATCTTAGGATATGACGAAAAATCTACTGCTTTGTTGTCCAAAATCCTATCTTCTTTCTTTTTATAGCTTTTGCTTCTCAAAGTATGTGCTCTATTTATAATAACAATTTAAATTAGAAATATTTGTGCATTTCAACTGAAGAGTATTTTGAGACTACTGTATTTGTGTTCTTTCATGTGCCAGACCCAGTTTGTTTATGAACTAAAAATGATTCTTACCAAGACATGTCTTCACCAGCATGTACTTTTGATCATTTGTGTGAAATAGACTAGATGTTTATAACTAATACTATTTCAACTGAATAATAAAATCATTTTGAAGGATGATTGTCTTCTTTTTCCTTAAGTAGCCTTATGTTTTAGGGGTTAACACATAACACAGCCCAGCATGTGCCAACACGACTTGTTTTCTGGCACTGCATGGTCCTCTGAGCATCACCAGATGCAGCCTGGAAGACCCCAGCTTGGCCAGGGTGACTGAGTGTCTGAGGTCAAAGCAGCATCACATGTTCCATGGACTCACTGGCCTGCTTGGCCAAGAATTGCAGTTACCTCCACTCCAGGACCACTTGGGAGCACACCTCTCTACATTGTCTGTGTCTTAGAAATAAAGGCATTGATATAAGTGTAGGCTCCCCCTATGGAAGCCACAATTAGCTATGAGAGTTTAACTTTTTGTAAGCAGTTTCTACATGAAATAATCATCAATGGTGCAAAAGGTGATTAATCTAGGAATATATACACAAATTGTCTTAATAACTTTTTGAATCTCACAAAAGTAGAAATAACATGTAGTTACATCTAAAGTCAAGTACTATATATATATATATATATATATATATATAAACTTTAAAAAGATGACTCCAGCAGTAAGTGATTCCCTTTGCCATAGGAATCACAAGTTTAACAAGTATATTATTTTTCCAAAGACAAATTCAAATTTTAATAGAAGAAAGGCTCCTTTCTGATAAATTTTCTGGGTCGACAATGGTGTAAATGAAAGTCTCTTTGGGCTTTTTAAAATAGATTTTGAAAGTACAAAATATATAAGCAAATTGAAATTCCATGTTAAATGGCATATCAGCAAAATATGTTAATAAATTGCAATAATTTGTGAGAAAGGAAAAATAAACGGTCAGCCTTTATAGTCACAAAATGTCACAGTAATAATTACATGTTTTGATCTCTTTTAAATGCTACTTTGATAATCATAAGATTAACAGAGAAAAATGGGAATATTGTCTTAAATTGAAAACTTTCTATTCACAGAAATTCAGTCATACCAAGTATTTTCTCTTAATGCAAATTTTATTATTGTTAATGTTGTTAATATCATTCTTATATTGATACTTCACTGGTTCTCTCCAAATTTGGGGCCACAAACTGATCCTAGATAATGGTAGTATATTTGATTGACTCAGAAATATGTTAAATATGCAAATAATACATATACATAATATTAAAATATGTTCAGTAACTATAAGAGAAATGTAAATCAAAGCCATAGTGAAATACCACTTCATCTGTTAAAAATGCAAATCTCAGAAAGATCAAAGATTAAAAAGTGCTGCTGAGGATGTAGAGATAAACGTGGTAGTGAGAGTGATACAGCATTTATGGGAGAGAGTGTGGCATTTCCTTAAATTAAAAACTACATTATTATCCCCTGCCAAAGAAGAAATATATCAAATGGTATAATGACATTAAAGTAAATGTTATGCTATTTAAAAGAACTACTTGTATTGAATTTGTGGTAGTAAAACTAGCAAACATGAAAATGGAATATTAAACCTCCATCTTGGTATCAATCTGTCAACTGGTAAATTGCAAAATCCATTAACTTGCCATGGCATCTCATCTATAACAAAAGTAACAGAAAGACTGTAGTCTCAGGGATATTTCTTTCATTAACAGGTTTAAGCCATGACCTACTAGGCAAAGGACGAAATTCCAATTTTTTTTTTTTGAACCCTGAACAGGTTGCTAGCATCTTTGGACTTGGTCCAGTTCTGTTCACTCTGATGGGGCTTTTCCTGGGTTCAGATGCTTTTTTGTTGTTTTAAGTCCCTTTACATACATGATTATGCCCACAGGTAACAGGAAACCAGTGTTTCAAAAGAAAGCTTGATCACATTGCCAGATAACACAGGTATCCTAAACAAGTGCGTGAGTGCCTGGAGGCTTTCTGCCACTGCCAGAAGTGCATATTTTTTTGATTGGTAAGAAGTTCCAGATGACGCTTCATGAAATATAAATGCAAGAAAGCCTCAGTCAGCGCAATATAAACCTGCCACCCGGCAGTCTGGGAGGCTAAGAGAAAGGTACGATTAACAACTACAGGCAATGGCTTTTGGAGTTCCGATATCAGTCTACATTTTATTCAATGGTAAGTAAATTTTTCGTTTTGTTAATTTGATCTGAGTGTGAAGAATGAATGGAGCTTATTTTCTCCGAATTAGTGAGCAGTTGACTTTTAACAGTTGCTTGTGACAGAGATCTGACTCAGGAAATCTGTGAATTAATTTAGTTTCTTGTGTAATACTACGTTCCTCTTTAGATACGTTTTGGCTCCCTTTTTTTGGAGAACCTAAAACATGCTTTATTTAATCAAAGAATAGTTGATACAATTTGAAAGTACAGTAACATCTTTGTATTGAATTATGGATAAATGCATTCACACACTCTGAAAAATTAACCTGCTTCTGTTTCACATAATTATGACATTGTCAAAGGAATTGGTATGGAGGTGAAACTGTCAGGAAATTGGTGAGGCTTGGATTTCAAAGGTGAATGAGTCTATTTCTATTAGAAATAGACCAGCAGTGAGGCTACCCTGTGGTTCATACACAGGAGACACACCTGTTCAGAGTGTCCTTTTTCCTTCACACAGCAATGACAGCATTGACCGAGGAGGCAGCGGTGACGGCGTTCCCTCAAATCACAGCCCAGCAAAGTAACTGGACAGCTAACAAAACAGAAGGTATTGTCTTAGCACTCTCGTATTTCTTTTTTTTTTTCTTTTTGGGTCACACCCGGCGATGCACAGGGGTTACTCCTGGCTCATGCACTCAGGAATTACTCCCAGCGGTGCTCAGGGGACCATATGGTATACTGAGAATCGAACCCGGGTGGGCCGCATGCAAGGCAAACGTCCTAGTCAACTGTGCTATCGCTCCAGCCCGCACTTTTGTATTTCTTGTGAATCTTTTCTTTTAAACTCTTGGAAGAAATTTGGACAGTGCTAGAAACAATGCTGGAAATTTGTAATTTTCTGTAAAGTTTAGTCAACTCACTGGGCAAGATGCTATTCAATGGAAGCTACAGGCCAACACGTTTGTGTTTTTTAGTAAAAGGCAAAGGATTTTTATGATCTGCAGAGAAACCAGAGCATGAATTTGTCTTTTGAAAAAGAGGATGTGAAGCAAATGAGAGAAAGAGTCTTGAGCTGACTGTAAAACATACCATGTTTTTCTGCTTGCTTCCTCACTGGTTCCCAGTATGCCAGGCGTGTCTGGAGGTAGTCTGTCCCTATTTTGGCATTCTTAACGAGTGACATCATATTTTGATTTGTGATTATACCCTTTGCAGCCAAATGAATTTAGTTACAAGATGAAGAAGCTTTAATCCACTTTCTCTTATCTTTGGAAAGATCTTTCTCTTGTTTGTTTTTTCAGGGGAAGGGGGTCAGGGTGGGGGGGGGTTGTTGTTAATAAGAGCTTTCTGTCCTAACCACTTGTGACAGACAAATAGTTGTGGAAGGTGTTACTATGTTTTCTTTCCTACATTATTATTATTATTATTATTATTATTATTATTATTATTAGAATAGATCTGGCTATTAGAATAGATCTGAACATCAGCGTTTTTTCAAACCTGCTTGAACTCTTAGAGATGAACTTGGAAAGCATACCCAGTTCACCCAGCTTGCCAAGTTCACCTCTAAGAGATGAACCTATGTTCTGGGTTAGCAGGGATTCTCCTGGAAATCACATGCAGACACCTGATAGGACATTAGGTGATGTGGTAATGTGACAGCACAGACAAAGGGCATATCATGCTCTGAGAGCCAGGCAGGTACAAGGGCAAGGCAAACATGTCATTTATCATATAAAAGACTATTACTTATGTATTTCTATTTTAAATGTTTTTAAATACGAATGATTTTAAATGTTCAAATATTTACTGAAAATGTTATTCAACTCTATCTTGTGAAAATCCAGCAATTTGCAAAGTAAAATTAGTGTGGGATTTTAAAGTGACTTCTAGTCAACTTTATGTCTTCTGAACTCCTGAACGATGATGAAAGAAATAGCTTCATTAGAAGGGAATGACTGCTGAAATTTCCAGAAGTACAGCCAGTATCCTTCCTGTAAGAGACTTCACACAGTTTGCTCAGGTCACTTTTTTTTCCCTTCATTATACTGCAATACTTTTCTCCAAGTTACAGGTCATGAGGTCAGGAAAGGGGAGTTAAATATTCCGCAGCTGCAGTTTGTCCCTTTTTTATTCATGATAACTTGAGTTTTCCCCATACTTTTTATTAGACTTTAAGAATGTGCATCTTAGGACCCTACGTATAAATGGGCACTTAATATTACTTTCCTTAGAGTATCTTCTTTCGGGTGTTATGTATTCTAGCAAATGTTGCTTTTTTTTAGACTTTTTTATTGAACTTATTTAGTCCTGAAGTAGGAAGAACCAAGCATAGTTTATACTGGAAAATGCACACTGTCTCAGAGAGGTACTATTAAAATGGGCATTAGATTTACCATTCTACAAAATAAATGTGAATTTTAAACTAAGCTAATCTATGTTTTCTCAACAAAATGAAGTCATACAACATTGTATCATGTTGGTGTGTTAGTACCAAAAGGTTTAGTATTTTCAATGTTAAAAAGTGCCCATTTGGGAATTGGAGAGATAGTACAGTAGGTAGGGCATTTGCCTTGCATGCAGCTGACCCAGGTTTGATCCCCAGCATCCCATATGGTTCCCTGAGCACCATTAGAAGGAACTTAGTATAGGACTAAGTTCCCCCCCAAAAAATAATTTAAAAAATAAAAAATGTTCATTTTTAGATTTGTTTTCTTTCCTAAAAACAAATAAGTAGAATTATCTTACTCTACGTCAAATATAGTAATATATGGTAACTAGAGATGAGGGGATATATTTATTAATAACAAGAACAAAACCACACTAATTTCTCTTGAGAAAAGTTTATGAATTGGTAATTAAAGTTTACCTCCCAAATTGTGTGGTTTTACCTGAGTCACCCCTACTCCATACCCCCCTCAAATGGTATCGATGTATGTCTTTAGGGTATCTGGAACAAGCAGAAATATATACATTGTACTGCACCACAGCCTCTCACAATGAAGCATTCAATATAGAAGATTCTCAACACTATGCTACAAAAGTTTTGCTCAATATATGCATTCAAATGCATAGTGATTTTTTTTAAAAAGCCCAATAGCCAAGATTTTTAATTCCTAAGCCATGACTCTCCCACTGTTATAATCCCTCTTAACTGAGTAGATTTGAGAGAGGGGGACACACGAGATGGTGCTTAGGACTTACACCTGCCTCCGTGCTCAGAGATCACTCCCAGTGGTATTCAGGGGACCAAATCTGGGCCAGCCACATTCAAGGCAAGTGCCTTAACCCCTGTACTATCTTTCTGGTCCTGTGATTTTTTTAATTTTTTAATTAATATTTTAAGATCTTGTCTTAACTTTGTTAAGCATGAGTCATACATTGTTTCTGGATTCTTCTGTAGGTTACAACAATGCTTCTTAAAATCAGCTACACATGACAGTGATATGTGAGAGGAGTCTCACCTTACTCCTCTCTGGGAAGGAAGAGAAATCAAGTTGATGATCTGATAAGTGTCAATCCAAATATTTCTAAGTTCTCACTTCTCAGGTGTAAATAGGGGAATGGAAAAAGTTGTGCATAATCTATGTTTATTATCATTCTGACACACATTTGGGAAACAATGTTCAAAGTAACCTGCTAAGACTACAATAAATGCTGCCACCTTTCGGCAAACGTATCTTTATCTCATTATGTGGCTTCTGAAGAATGGAAAAATGATCTGTCCACCTCCACCTCCTAATTGATGAATGATTTATCTAAATGATATCAACCCAACCCTTGTGAATGTAACCTGCCAACAGACTCAATCCGTAGTTCCAAGGATAGAACACCCAAAGAATATTCTTAAAAATAGAAATCTCTGGTTTTATTTGTTGTTGGCTTCATTTCTTTACCTACCACATGAATAAAACAATTTGGTGTTTGTCTTTCTCTATCTGACTTTTTTCACTTAGCATTATGACCACATTTCTTCCAGGATGTTGCAAATGCAAAATTTCATACTTTCTTGGCTGAGTAGCACTTTATATTTGTGTGTGTGTGTGTGTGTGTGTGTGTGTGTGTGTTTCCATATCTTCAACATCTTCGTTATCTACTCATCCGTCAATAATAGGTACTTAGGCTGTTTCCTTATCTAGCATTATAAATAGCTCGACAATGAACACGGTGGTCATATATATTTTAGAATTAGTATTTTTATATTCTTTGGATACTCAGGCATAGATAGAATGGCTGGACTGATATTTCCATTTTAAATTTCTGAGACATCTCTATACTATTTTCCATGGAGATTATACCAACTTCCATTCCCATCAACAGTGTATAAGAGTTTCCTTTGTCTTTTTAATCTTAACCATTTTGAGGGGACCACACCAACTGTGCTCAGTGTTTATTCCTGGCTGTTTGCTGAGGGATCATTCCTCTTGGTACCGGAGGGCCATATGTGGTGCTAGGGACTGAATCGAGATTGGCTGTGTGCAAGGCAAGTGCCCTACTCACTTCGTATCTCTCTGGCCCAGTCACTGCTCTATCTCTCTGGCCCAATCATAACTATTCTAACTGGTGTGAGGTGATACCTCACAGTGATACCTCACACCTATTCGTGATTTTGATTTTTTTCCACAGTGATAAGTAGTGCTGAATACCTTTTCTGTTGGAGACAAATCTACAAAGATAGCTCTAAGGTCAATATTGATGAGTTTACTGCTTTTATGTGTTTTAGGGGTGTGGTTTTTATCTTTAAACCTTTAATATATTTTGAATTAATTTTTGTGTATGATGAAAGCTATTCTAGTTTAATTTTTTTGCATGTAATAACCTGGTTTTCCCAACACCATTTATTGAACAACACTATTTATCCATTTTATATTCTTAGTCTTTGTTTTCTGTTTGTTTGTTTTTTAATTTTATTTAATCACCATGAGAAAGTTACAAGCTTTCATGTTTGGGTTATGATCACATAATGATCAAATACCCATCCCTCCCACCAGTGCACATTCCCCACCACCAATATCCCCAGCAAAACCCCCTTCTCCTCCCCCTGCCTCCATGCAGACAATATTCCCCATACTCTCTCTCTACTTTTTGGCATTATATTTTACAATACAAACACTGAGAGGTCATCATGTTTGGTTCATTATCTACTTTCGGCACATATCTCCCATTCCTTGTCGCAAGTTGGCTATCCATATTTGTGTGTGCCTTTTCTGGGTTTTCAATTCTGTTGCATTGACGATATCTCTGTCTTGAGTCAAACATCATGCATGCAATTTTTGTGTGATTGTAGCTTTGTAGTGACAGTTTAACATCAGTAAGGAATCGTAATACTTCAATTTTTGTGCTTTGCTGTAAGGATTATTTTAGGAATTCGAAATAAAACAAGCCAGTAGAGTCTATTTTTAAAAAAATGGTAATTACTGGAGAATTAGGGTGATGGTGAATGGGCAATACAGGTAAAAAGAGTCAATTGTATGGTTCTAGATAGAAACTAGATTTTCACTGGTAATTATGTAATATATACAGATGTCAAAATATAAGCTTTAGACCTGAAATTGAAGAGAAAGAAACAAAACAAATGAATAGCTAAATAAAACAATGATGAACACTTATATTATGAAGACAAAATGATGGGTACTAGAGAGGATCAGGAAATAACTCGAGTAAACAAGGTCCATTATATAGTGGTGAATGGAAACGAGACTTTAAGTGGGAATTATAACATAGTATATATTAGTATACTTATTATAAAGCTATATACTTGACACCTACACAATGTTATCAACCAATATTACTTCTTTTTGTTTGGAGTCTATACCAGGAAGTGCATGGGAGCTACTTCTTACTCAGTGCTTGGAGGTTGCTCAGTGAATGCCCTGGGTGATTCAGGAGGAAACAAGCCCAAGGCTCTCTCATGTCCTTAGAACTTTCTCCCTGGCTCAAATCATTGTTACTTGGGGGAAAAATGAAAAGGTCTCTTTATTTGTTTTACAAATTCACTATGAAAGAAAGTATGTCCCACTTGATCATTTAATCTTGTATCTTCTTTCCCTAGCTGACTACATAGAGGGACCCATTGCCCTGAAGTTTTCACATCCTTGCCTGGAAGACCATAATAGTTACTGCATCAATGGTGTTTGTGCATTCCACCATGAGCTGGAAAAAGCCATCTGCAGGTATTTTAAAGAACTTTCCAAGTCCATAAGATGAATAAGTGGATTTATGCTTATGGTTCCCCCTAAGGTATATTTTCACATTTTATCTAGTATAAAAGGTACATGATCTGAAATTGACTCACCAACTTTATAGTTCAATAACTAAGAGAGTCTTTTTTCTAAACTACTGATCCTTGTTATCCCAAAATATGCGTATTTGACTTTAGCATGACTGGGGTCTTGTTAGAAATGCAGAATATATGTCCTACCTCAGAACTACTGAGTCAGAATCTGCATTTTAACAACATGCAAAGATGATTCCAGGTTTGTTTGTTGGTTCATGGTTTTGGGGTCATAACTAAAGGGGCTCAGGACTTACTTCTGTCTCTGTGCTCAGGGTCACTTGTGGGACTCGGGGAACTTCAAGTATTGAAACTTGGCTGGCATGCAAGGCAAACACACTACCTAGCATACTATCACTGTGACTCCAATTCCAGGGATTTTTTTAAGACTTCTTATAGGAGAAAATGAAATACATTATAACAAAAATACCTCAGAAAATGCATTTCTAATGTCACTAATGAACATTTTAATGATTATTGATCAGTGAAGTGGCATCCTATGAAGTAGTAGGTTAACAGTTTTCTAGATTAACTCATTATATTATTTTATCTTCTACTAATGAAGGAAGGTGCATTAGTATGGCAGTTTAAGTTACTCTTATAAAATATGCAGTTTCTCAATAACTTAAAAAAATTGGAGTTTATTTTATGCTTGTCTCTTTCTTTCTAATAAATCGTTTTCATTCTTTAAATTGTCTTTATATTTCTGTCATGAGTTTTTAAATTGTATATATTCTCTTTTTTTGTTAAAGGTGTTTTACTGGCTATACTGGAGAAAGATGTGAGCATTTGACTTTAACTTCATATGCTGTGGATTCTTATGAAAAATACATTGCAATTGGGATTGGCGTTGGATTGTTATTAAGTGGTTTTCTTGCTATTTTTTACTGCTACATAAAAAAGAGGTATGAAAAGAGACAAAACGTAAAGTCAATGAAACTCGTTTAGTTCACAAATACTTGCTAAGCACCCATGATGTGGCAGAATTGACATGGATAGTTCTTAAGTGAAAATGTGGCTCTCAATCTAGCAAATCTCTACCTAGACGCTTGTCTTGATGCCTTTTCTTATAAATACAAGCAAGTGGTAAAAATGTACTCAGAGATCCAAGAGAATAGCTCCAGCTTACAATTTCCTTCACCCTTATCTCATATCTAAGTTATAAGTGAGAAGAACAGGAAGCCTTTATAGGGGTGTACTCTGAAGTTTCACAGTTATTCACACTAAAAGAGTTAATGCTCAAAACAGTATCTGTTCTTCCCTAGAAATTTTCATAATAAATAGTATTCACAGTAAATAATTGTTTCACGAACAAATCAAGAAATGAATCTCATTTCTCCCCCAGATATCAACTGATAGTACATTTAGGAAATACTATCTACTGTTGAACATTTCAGAAGGGTTGGAGAGACAGTACAGGGTATAAGCTCTTATATTACATGTAGTCAGACCCAGTTTGTCTATGCCACTGATCTATTTCCCCCATCCCCTTAATCTGCAGCACATTAGGATCCCTTTTGTCCCTTGAGTACCATCAGGAGTGATCCTTGAGCACAGAGTCAGGAGTAAGCCGTGAGCACAGTCAGTTGTGGCCCCAAACCAAAAGAAAAAAATTTTTGAAAAATTAAACTTTTTCCCACGAATTACAAATTATGTATGTATTAAATTTTTATTTCTAGCTTACCCACACTAATATTTTTTCCTTAGCTTCATATGATTAGTGAAATTAAGAAATAATACAAGATAAACAGTAAAAATTATAAATATATTTCTCTTGCTACTTATATACTATTAGCTAAATCACTGAATCATTTTCCCGATAACCAAAATTGATTACCAAAGAAAAAAATTTGTTTAATAATTACGACTTACAAAGGACAAAATATGTTAGGCTATTGTAAATCATATCTATAAAATCCATCATATAAATTTATATCATATATCGATTGCCAAGAAAGAAATACCCCATATAAAGAAAGAAATATTTAATATATGGCATGTTATAGATCAATATCATGTATCATATAGCAATATCAAATATCATAACCAAGAAAGAAAGCAAAAGAAATCTTTTAAAGTTATATGACAGGTGTTCTGAGGTCAGATTGCTAGAGGTAGAACCTAAAATGAAAACTCTTGTGCAAACAATTGGTCAAGAGATCTCTCTAAGGTTAAATCTATATTGAAATAAAGGGAGCTAGAAAAAGAAGGTAAAAATTAACATGAGGCTTTCACTGAATTCTAGCTTCAGCTCGATTCCACAGAGAGGTCTAGAACATGAATGGCATGACAGATTTAGGAAGATGAGAGATCCCCTTTAGTTTCCTGCATCAGTCAACCATTATATGGCAAAATGCTCCTAGTAGCACAGGACCTGGGGGTTCCCAGGAATCTTGAAATCGCTCAAGAATCTTCACAGTTCCCTGTCAATCAAAGCAATCCTCTCATCAGGATGTGCTCTATTACTATTAATACTGTATTAGTACTAACCCTCAGAGCTGCTGGATGATGGGTCTACTAGTGGATAAGGGCCCGAGAGCAACTATTACTCCTGAGCATTTGTATCATCACCAATAAGTCATGCAAACTGCAATCGATTTCATATGGAAACCAATGCTCTGTTTCAGGTGTCTAAAATTGAAATCACCTTACAACATTTGTTCTGGAGGAAGATCGCTATGAGACTTTTATAAAAAGTCTTCACGAGGCATTTATAAAAATCAGTGGGGTGAAAAGTGAGAACTTCAAATGAATCACCAAAACTTCTTCCCTTGCTGATTGGACTTTAAAATAATGGAAGTTGGGCTCATGATAAATGAGAGATTCCACCTTCATCTTTAGATTGCTGTCATTGAGTGCTATGGACGCCAAGAGGATAACTATGACAAAAGTCAAGTTCATAATCCTACTCTGGGTTTGTGGCTATTATTGTATGGTTATTGTTCTCACTGCAGAAAGACTGAGTTTTGTGTTTCTGAACTTTGTGCTTTTGAGCTTCTGAGTTTTGAACACATTGGATATAAGTTTTCAAGACAGTAATCAACATAACAGCAACTTAAAGCAGTACCAAGCTTGAGTTCTTCGTGTGTTTGCTTCCAATGTTCTGGACCTATGCCCAAAGATGCTGCTTTTGTGGTGTCTAAAATAATGTGATATCAACAGGTAAGATATCAGTGTTATGAACCTCCAGTGAAACAAACATGAAGCTGAAGTCTGAGAAAAATGAAAATGCAACATCCAAGCCAAGTATAGTTCACTCTCAGCTTGTGACAATACTGCAACTTTTATCTGTAAAATATGAAATGAGCTCAAGAGTTTCTGATAGCTGAACCCTATCTGGATAATTGAGTCTGGAGAAGGCAAAACGTTGCCTGTTTCTCTGCGGATTATAAAACTATGTTGCACTCATTGGTCTTCAAATACTTATGTTCATCATTTCTTCCTAGTGTTAGTGGAATTACCATGTGACTAGCCACTTGGATCAATATCCTAGTCTTCTACTAATAATAAAATTCTGCAATTGACCGTGAAACAGAAACTGAAGAATTGAACATAGGAGTTTTTCACCAGTCAACAACATGTGAAAACTTTCTTTACCATTTCTGGATACTTGATACCTTATTTGCACACGAAGAAAACTGAACGAGGGAATAAATATTTGGGAATTAGGGTCCTTTAAAAACCATTTCTTTCATGTAATTCAAGTAGTCTAAGGTAGGTCCTTTAATTTCTTTGGACTTTGGTTTTACTTTTTTTTTTTTCTATAAAGCTCTGCAGCTCTAAAATTTGTAAGTTTCTTATCTGTTCTGTAAGAAAGTTATCCTCACCCCACCCTCTGCCCTCGACCTCTTCTGCAAGCTCCAAACATTCCACAGGGTATTATTGGAGGTGTGTATTCTAGAATTTGTTTTGTAAAATAATAATTTAAGTTTAAAGAAATATGTGTGTTTAAAGCAAATAAAAATGAAATTGAAGTATCATAATAACTAACATCTTTCTTTTAGAGTCAACCTATAACTGTGGAGTCAACCCTCCCACTTGCCCCTTCCCCAAACAATGTGATGTAGACTAGAAGAATAATGTTAATTATGACCTTGATTAAATGCAGTTCCAACCTGGATATTGATATGATGGCTGTCTCTTTAAAAGTCTTTTGTTTATATGAAGGCATGATTTTTCATTTAGTTCCCAACAAAAACTTAGCATTCTGCTCTTCTTTAAGTAGAAAGTACTTTCCTTGCTTTGCTTTTCCTTCAGAAGGCATTTAGTATGGAGGAAGCTCGCATCAGCACTTTCTGCATGTCCTCACTCAGTATGCAAAGGTTACATCATTTCTCAGAGTGGGGAGGTAGTTTCCTCCCAGTGATTCCAGGGACCGCACCTAGAAAGCTATGCTCTTCCTAAAGCATTTCCAAAAGGTGTTAAAAATCTGGGGAGGGTTCAGGAAAAAACATAAAGCTTAATTAAGAATTGCCTCCTGATAAAAGTGAACCCTTGCTTGAAAACTTTCTTTACCATTTCTGGTAAACTATTTTTTCACCTATTTATGGATCTATGAGATGGAGTAGGTCATTTAGGAAAGAAATGATTACACGTTTTCAATATCTCTGACATAAAGCAAACTGGCCAAGGGGTTCATCAGTTTTGTTTCTTACTGTCTCCTTCCTGTGTCTGTCCTTCAGTTCTTTGATAATACATTTTTAGGTCTTCAGTTTCCATAAGCACTTCATTAGTTAGAGTTTGGAAATATGGTAGACGTGGAAGCAAACTCTATAATTTCATTTTACTACCTGAAACACTAAAGCTATAAAAGAAATAGCATTCTCTTTCTCCCGCTTAATTTTTTTAATTAAATTTTTATTACATTTGAACTGGATGAAACTGTCACACGGTTTCTCTTTTAATGTTTTGTGGCATAGTACAAATCAAATTCTTTCATTTATATATGTCTACTTAACTGATATGGAGGGGATTTTCATTCATTACATTAAATGGAAAAATGTCTCAGGAAAATACCAAGGCAAACACTAGCAGTTTAAGCTTTTGATGGTGACTGTAAGGACTGTGCTTCTCTGCAGAATACCATGAGTAAACCATCTAACTTCTCTCTCAGTTGCAAAACCTAACACATTCTCTGTGGTGTGGTGTAAATATTGATATCCGGCAACCCACACTCATGGGAAGGGTTACCAGAATCCTTCTTGCAAAATTCCACTCTTTCTAACTTACATCATGGCTCCATGACATCAGGATACTAACATCTGCCGCAGTGAACTGGACATGTTGAAATTTAATTTGTCAGACTCTAGCTCGGCTAATCCGGTTGATCCCACGTTTCTGCCCAAACCTTTGGCATTACCCGAGTCATAGCACATTCAGAAGCATGTCTTCCGTATGCAGCCTCAAGTTTCTATTGCTTTTTCAATCATTCATTGTACAGTTTTAGAGTACAAAAGCTTAAGCAGTTAATTTCCTAAAAATTCAAAAGCTCTACCTTTTGAGAATATCCACGTGGTTAAATATGTCACTTTATTCTATTTCATTGGCTGCCAGAACTAAACAAGGTAAACGTTCCATAATGTGGAAAACACCCACAGCTTCCAAAATGCATCTAGAAAGATTGGAACTATGATTATATAGTAACACAAACAGTTGAAATATTTAGCCACAGCCTATCTATATATATCATGGACTTTTTAATTTTTATATTTCAGATATTATTGGTAGCATATTAAACATGTCACCCAGATTGAAATTCAGGTCATGACACATTTGGGCTAAAATTAACACTGTTTTTTGCTCTTTAAGTAGTTGTTAGTTTAGCTTCACTTCCTTGTGGAAAGAATGGAATCTAGAGCTATAAAATTGCACAAAATTTTGGTTCAGTAGTCTCTTCATAAATCAAGTTGAGGCAACAGCATAATATAGTTACTATCTATGGGCACTAATAATGTTAGAAAATCATTATTATTATTACTTGAATCCACACTTTTGGTAACAGAATCTTAAAGAAGACAATCCATTTTATTTTCAAGATCATGTTGTAGCTGTTTAAGTCTGAGTACATGCAGTTGTTATGAATGTTCTGTACGATAATGCTTCCCGGAACCCTATGAAAAATATTAGTATGAGATTGTTGGCTCATTTGGAAAGATATTTTTCTAATATTTTATTGTGAAAAACAAATAAATTTTTTTAAAGTGTAATGTAATGTATACTTGTATACACTTAGAAGCCAATAGTTCTTTACATTTTCATATCATCTTTTTCCTACATGTAATTGTGACAAATCATTTGAAAATATATTACAGACATCATGATTTTTAATCCTATATATTTAGTAGGTGAAGAAAAAGGGTATAATTACATATTGTAACCACATATAGTATTAAACCTCAAAAAATCAGCAACAGTCTTTCAAAATGATCAAATAAGAATTGCTTTCTTCTGAGCTTAGAGATATAAGTGATTTGTATGCAAATAAAAAGTTCTTTTCCTTAAAATATGTAAAATAGTGACCTTTGCCACAGATCAACCACAAAAACTCCCTGTCACCTACAGAAATTGAGATATGCATGCCATCCATAGGTGGGGCAAGAGCAGATTTCAAGCCTGGGGAGAGACTGGACTGTAAAGCAGGGTTTATCCTCAGGACTCAGGAGATGAGATGGTCACCAAGGAACACTTTATCCCTCTGTGCACAGTGATCATTTGACTCTGATGTCACCCTACTGGGCCATACTTAGTTTTGTGACTAGATGAGAAGTGATTTTTACCTTTGTAATAAATTGTCACTAATCAAATCACAATCAATCCTTAATTTTACCTGTAGTCTTAGAGTAGTGTTTCTCCACTAGGAGCCATATGGCCCCCAGAATATTCCATGGGAGTCAAAAATGAAAACTCACATAAATGAGGAGACGAGGGCGTGAGATTAGGAGGCCGACTGGTATGGTGAGGCGGGTGGGGGCGCACCAAAGTCAGAAGGGGTTTGGGAAACACTTCCTTTGACTGGAACAATAAATGGAAATGAACTTAAACCACCTATGATGTAATGCGAACAGGCTGTGTGTTAATTTCACCCAGGCCCTTGCAATGCTGTTCTTTCTGTTAAGTGAAGTTAAACTCTAAAAGCCACCTCTCCATCCCCTCTTGCTCTGATGCTGGATATTGAGAAGGTCACATCTCTAGGACAGATCCAGCTCACACACATTTTCATTGGGTTTTGTGGTGTTTGCTTTAAAACAAACCTATATTTAGAAACCTTGATATTAGGAGGCGGGAGGGATAATACAGCTGGTAGGATATTTGCCTTGCACATGGCCGACCCGGGTTCGATTCCCAGCATCCCATATGGTCCCCTGAGCACTGCCAGGAGTAATTCCTGAGTGCAGAGCCAGGAGTAAGCCCTGTGCATCACCAGGTGTGACCCCCCCCCCCCCGCCAAAAAAAGAAAAAAGAAACCTTGATATTTAACACACACACACACACACACACACACACACACACACAGCTTTTCGAACTTAAAAAAGCATCCAGAAGATATAAAGTCATCTTCACACAGCCTTGCTAGGATTGTACCTAGCCACCCCTTGCCACCCCTTGGAGCTTCTATTACTGTGCGCCTCTCCAGGCTGCCCTGGGACCTTCCCTTCTATAGACTTACTGTGTGCGTTGAATCTGACCTCAGATGAATTCCTCTGGGTCTAGTCATGCACATGCCTGTAGAGGGCCTTGTTGTACCGC